TTTGGACATTAGTTTGAACAGAGGATTGTTACCAATACATGTTGTATTGAAATTAATTATTATTTATAAAGCACATTTTACAACAACTCTTAAACTAACATAACTGCCCTAAGTGAAGAAATATTAATATAGAAAGCATAAAGAAATTCACTTTTACATGGATACCCACTTCCGCCCCGGCCCGGGGTTGAACTCTCGACCTTCGAAATCTGTCTCCTAGCAGAGCAGGAACAGCGCGCTAGACCACTCGGCTATCTAGGCAAGTCAAAAAAAATATATATATTAGGGATGTCAAATCGGTCAATTTTCAATACTCGGTTACTCGGACGTTTTTCCGATCGAGTACCCGGGTACTCGGTAAAAGTGTAAATAAATATGAACAAGTAAATTGAAGACTGTAAAACATTGTAAACTCTTGTAGAAATAAAACCAGATGCACTGATAGGAGGCTTATCCGTAAATGTATTTCTGTTGTAATCACAGGTACATGTACTTGGGTCGTTGTTTATAAATATTTATAATGTACCTTATTGATACTTTTTTTACATATCAATAAGGTACATTATAAATATTTATAAACCACGACCCAAGTACCTGTGGTTGTAATAATGATAAGCACTTCGTGCCCGACAAAATTTAATATAACATTTTTTTTTAATTCAATTTATTTATCAAATAAACACAAGAAATAAATTCATAAGTTGTTCACAGTGTTTTTGTTTAAAAAAAATAATCTGCTCCGTAATTGTAATGTAACTTTTTGTCGCGTTTGACGACCAGGTATCAGTCGTCAGAGCTACACGTGCACGGTATCAACTTTCAAGAACTTGATCAAGTTCTCCTAACAGAGCGGATTTACGATTTTCGTACACTTTTTCGATCCTAGATTTTTATAATATTACGGGACGGTATTTTGTAGTTTGGTGCAACGATGGACATCAGTTTTTTTGTAAGCCTTTGCCTTTAACCAGTTGTATTGGCATGTAATCAAACACAACCATATCAACAATCGCACGTGTAATATCATCCGCTCTTTTCCCGAGAATTTACGGCTTCTCGGAGAATTTACAAAATTATCTAATTCATTAAACATAATGGATCTTAAACGATGTTAAGTGAAAACAAATAATTAAAGTCAAACAAAAATTAAGGAAGAAGGCAGCGAAGGTGAGAAAAGCCAGGTACCCCAGGTGCTCGGTCACGATAATTACTGTATAAACACTGCCACAGGCAATAACGGTCATTTAGAGTCGTAGTAAACCCTAATTACTGTATGTACAAGTGCAATGAGTATTTTACGTTTTAAAACAGATTGTTTAATGCATTAATAAATAAGCTTAGAAATATTCAAAAATATACATCCGAGTAACCGAGTACCGATTTTAGTATTCGATACTCGGACGTTCGATCGAGTACCCGGTTAACCGGGTACTCGTTGACATATATACATATATATATATATATATATATATATATATATATATATATATATATATATATATATATATATATATATATATATATATATATATATATATATACTTAGATCATTTGCACATTTGCATAATGCCAAGAAGAAAGGGAAGTATTTTCAAAGAATTTATGCATTTTCAATATATTATCGGTTGAGCCCCGTCCTAACACCAGAACTCCTGATCCAGAGGTCATGAAATTCACAATTTTAGAAGAGACATCATTTCTCACAATAACCATGTACATAGTTTATTGGTTCAATACCCATTAACAGATCAGAATATTTTTACAGAATTTATGCGTTTTTACTATATAATCAATAGAGCCCCACCCCTAACACCATAACCCCTGACCACGGGCCATGAAAATCACAATTTGAAAGAAACATCCATCCTCACATTAACTATGTATATAGTTCATTGGTTTAATACCGAGGAGCAGAGAAATAGAGTTTCAAAGAAATTATGCATTTTCACTATAAAATCAATAGAGCCTCACCCTAACACCAGAGACCCTGACGCTGGGGTCACAATTTTGGAAGAGGCAGCCTTCTTATGACTATATATTATATTGTTTAGTTTATCAAATACCCAAGAGCAGAGGAGAAGATTTTCAAAGAATTAAGTTTTTTTCACTATATAATCAAAAGAGTCCTGCCCTAACACCACTTGACCCAGGAGCCATGAAAATCGCAATTTCGGAAGAGACATTCCTGGTCATCATAACCATACATTCAGTTAATTTGTTTAATATCCAGGAGCAGAGGAAAAGATTTTAAGTGAAATAATGCAATTTCACTATATGATCTATATAGCCCCACCCTAACACCAGGGTTCATGAATTTCACAAAACTAATAGAGGGATCACTACTTAACAGTTTGCCAACAGTTTGATTGCTTGATGTTCAAGAGTGAAAATGAATATTTTTAATAGATTAATATAGAATTTAGTCCCATCCCTCAGGCCCCAGGGGGACAGCGACCATGAAATTCATAAATATTATTCCCTTTACCCATAGATACCATATACCATATATGGTTTAAAATTGGTCAGTGGTTTTAGAGAAGCTAAAAATGTTTAAAAGTTTACGACCGACGTACGACTGACGACGGACGACGTACGACCACGGACATTTTTGGAGGCATTTCTTATTTATCCCTATGAACACTTAAATGAATGCGTAAACTTAGAAATTGATTTACATAAAAATGCAGTAGATATGCGACCCCCCCCCCCCACATACACATCATACAATGCCTTGAAACTGCTCAAATAAAAACTTTATATTTAACGTTAGGCTTGAAAAAACGCACGATTTTTCACGCAAAAAATAAAAAAAAATTAGGAGTTATATTTTCTATACGAATTATGGCTTATTATATAGTTTATTTGAATAATAAATAACTATTTTTGCAAGTCATTAACTTTGGAAAATTGAAAGAAATATCTAAAATCAAAATATAGGTTTTCTGTGAATTTTTATTGTATTGGATTTTATGATTTAAGATGGGATAAGATTAAAAAAAAGCATCAAAAAAGTATTTTAACTATATCATCTTTCCATTTGTAAATTTCTAAAATCAGCAGTCTTTTTCCACTACAATTATTTGTAGAATTTTTAAAATAAAGTAGTTATCGGGATAAAAGTAACCACGACAATACCTAGTGTCGTGTACATTCGCATTGAAAATTATTCATTTTTGTTGTAAAGCTTCACATTTTTATGTATTGATGTTGAAAATATCTCGACCACAATCAACTTCCTTATGTTTGAATATAATCCGTAAGATACTAATTTTGTCATCCCTGCGAGGCGCAGTGGTAAAGCCGTTTGATCAAGAGCCTCTGATTCTTACCTCGCGGGCTCAAATCCCACTCTGGGACGTGAAAAAGGGTTGAGGCCGTGTAAGCCGATGTCCCTTGCTTCAGCAGGTGCTGGCAAAAAAAAAGATCTCTTGCTGCTCAATAACGCTGAATGCTGAATATAGGTCAAAATGTTTAGCTCTCTGGATCGGCAAGTACGTGGTCTTGTCTCCATAGGAGTTAAAACAACAAACAAACAAACGAAAACTAATTAGTACGCATGCATGCGTAGTAATGCGCAGTCGGTGGACATATTGGTATTGCACGCACGAAAACGATGTCTGGGGACATTCTCGCAAATGGCTGGGGCAATGTTGCTTAACTTTTCATAATGATATCATGCAGCTGTATTTGTGCAGAAAATATTTGTTTCAACCCAGATAGCAAGACTATGTTGGGCCAACATTGGCAAAAGGTTGTATGGTTGGCGTTGGGGGAACAACGTTGGGTCAACGTTGGACCAATGTCACCATGCCAACCTTCTCGACCATGGCAGAATTTCTATTTTGGCCCAACGTTGGTCCAACGTTAGCTAATTCCATTCACTTTTACTTCCCAAGGAAGGAGGGATGTTGATGTTGGCCCAACGTTGGTCCACTGTTTGTAATACACCCTTAAAGAAAGTGTTTTTTAAAGATGGTAGTAGAATGTTGGCCCAACGTTGGCCCAATGTTTGTAATACACCCTTAAATAAAGTGTCTTTTAAAGTTGGTAGTAGTATGTTGGCCCAACGTTGGCCCAATGTTTGTAATACACCCTTAAAGAAAGTGTTTTTTAAAGATTGTAGTAGTATGTTGGCCCAACGTTGGCCCAATGTTTGTAATACACCCTTAAAGAAAGTGTCTTTTAAAGTTGGTATTAATGTGTTGGCCCAACATTGGCCCAATGTTTTTAATACACCCTTAAAGAAAGTGTCTTTTAAAGTTGGTATTAGTATGTTGGCCCAACGTTGGCCCAATGTTTGTAATACACCCTTAAAGAAAGTGTCTTTTAAAGTTGGTAGTAGTATGTTGGCCCAACGTTGGCCCGATGTTTGTAATACACCCTTAAAGAAAGTGTCTTATCAAGTTGGTAGTAGTATGTTGGCCCGACGTTGGCCTGATGTAAGCACGAGTGTTCTTTCGTTTAGGTGTTTCAAAGATGGGTTATTTATATTGGGCTAACGCTGGCCCAATTTTTATACTGCCAGCTACTAAGTAAATGATGGTGTCATTTTTAGCTGCTGAGTTTAACGTTGGGACAACATTGGTTCTAATTAAGTTTTAATTTAGCTGCACATTCTGCAATAATTAAGAGGACATTCTATGTCCATGCTTTTAATTGGATGACTTTTTTGTTTTTAGATCTGATATTTTCAATATTTTAACTTTGAACTTAAGTGATCACAGCACCAAAGAGTGTTATATTATATTTTTTGAATTGTGCACATGCATGCTTATTTATTTGAAATAAAACCCTTGAAATAATGAATTTTTTTTCATGAGCGTTGTATTCATGAGAATTTAGAGAAGACTGAATAAGTTCTCAGGAACAGGATGTGAATGAAGCCTGCATATACATAAATCAAAATGACACAGCTTTATAATTAAAAACAAAAGTTAAGCGTTCGCTGAAGATAGGAGAGTCGCGCGGGAATCAAATTACACCAAACTGTGGAGTGAGTTGTCAGATTCAATTGCTCACAGGGTGTGATGCAGGGCAAGCAAGAAGAAGTGAAATTTAAATTTGTGGATTATACACTTGCTATAGCTGCATTTAGAAGCGATGTAAGTATATTTATTCTTATTTATTCAGATTAACTGTTAAAATTGATTCGGAATTCATCCTTTTCATTTTTTTGCACACGAGCTCTGTAAGTGTTAAATAACATCTTTTAACTTGTTTCCATCTAATTCTTAACTGTCTATTACACTGACACGATTGTAACAAGGAAATTAAGGTGTACTAATAGTATAATACATCATTCTCTTTATTAAAAGATTTAATTTAAGTAATATTTATTCATAAGTTGGACCAGTAATTGCATGTATTGTTTTTAATATCAAACTATTTTGTATTTTCAGTCAGAGACTGAAAGGAAAACAAATGTGGCGGTAAATAACAATGAAATCGAAGACAATGCATTAAGATGTGTATAAAGTACGAGTACGTATGACAAAGATCAAGATGAAGAAAACGGGAGGCGACGAAGGGACGGAAAAAGAGCGGGAATACAACAAAAGGACAGTAATAAAGGAAGTGAGCCCTGATTAAGAACTTTGAATTGATAACTTTTCATAATTTACCTCTATTGTCTATTTTAAAATTTATTTTGTAAATTATGATTGAATTGATGTATATAAAATATTTTCACAGTGAATCATTAGTAATGTTTTCATTGAACATGTCCATGTATGCATTATGAATGCAGATTGAATTGTGTATTAATTTTTTTAAATAGTCATAAAATAGGTTTATGTGAAACATCACTTAACCAATTGCAAATGTTTCTATGTAATAACTACTTGGCCAAACAATTTGCCATCTGACATTGTAAAAAAGGATCAACATTGGGCCAACCTAACCAACCAGTTGTTAAGGTTGGCTGTTAGTTGGCAAACACTAAAACCTACGTTGGCCCAACAATATGCCATCTGACATTTCAACATAGGGCCAACGTTGGGCCAACTTAACCAAACAGTTGTTAAGGTTGGCTGCTAGTTGGCATACACTTATATCTACGTTGGCCCAACAATATGCCATCTCATATTTCAACAAAGGGCCAACGTTGGGCCAACCTAACCAACCAGTTGTTAAGGTTGGCTGTTAGTTGTCATACAATTAAACCTACGTTGGCCCAACAATATGCCAACATGTTGGACCAACGTTGGGCCGATGAGCAAAATTACCGTGGGCCAACGTAAGGTTACCAACAGTGGGCCAACGTTGGCCCAATTATGTCTTGCTATCTGGGAATATAGCTACGGTTTTCATGGAAACGTAAAAAGTGAAGAAAATCGTCCAGAAGTGTTCTCGCTGATCCCCTACACAATCGTGATGAATCTTTATAGTAATTTTACATATAGACAGTGATTTAGATAAGCAAATGGCATTTAAAATGTTCAAACCACCCATCGTAAACATGGAAACAGAAAAAAGTAAGAAATGATTAAGTTCAATTTTCACAAACTTTGCAAGCAATTATTTTGAAACTTATGAAGATCGTTCCTTACATTCTATCAGAGTAATTCCTATTTAAAATTTTAGAATCTTTTGCAAAAAACTTGCGAATGAAAGAAACAGAAAAATGGTACTTTATTCACAGATATTATCCGAATTGGCTTTTGCAATTGTGATGTAAATGTTCAGAAATTATGCTTTGATACTTTATTTGTTCAGTCAATATAAAATTTCTAGCGAGCTCCACGAAATATTGCTACGTGGCAAGTCTGTGTGATTCAAACACCAATAACTCACAGAAAACTCAAAAGCATTCCTTAATATTTACATTTCCAATAAATTTCCCCTATGATTCTTTACAAAATAAAATGCAGTATATTTTCTCATGAACTACATTAGATATGTATCACGAATAAGCATGAATATCTCCATTGTTACGTCATAATACCACTCTTGTCGTCAAAAATATAGTGCACACTGTTTTGTTTTAAAAATGACAGTTGAACGGCGTAAATTTAAAGCAAGTCATCAGAAAAATAATGTAAATATAAGAAATGAATTTAATTTTTTGAAGATTCATGAGATATATGAACTACAACGCTTCACGCCGGCATATTTATCATGAAGCGCTAACGCGCTTCATGAAATATGCCGGTTTAAAGACGAATAATGACCCCCATCGAATAATGACCGGGGGTCATTTTTCGACAGCGAAAAATGACCCCCGGTCATTATTCGACGTAGAAAAATGACCCTTTTGCCTGTAGAAAAAGTGTCACTTCCCTAAAAATTTGCAGAACCCACGTGAAGAAAAATGACCCCCGTAGAAAAATGACCCCCTGTAGATTAAAGCTAAAATTTTTAGGGGGCAAAATAAAAATGGATAAAGAAGCATATTGGCCAAAATGCTCACCTGAGCTTATTGGGAATAAACTGATGATATGTTGATCTCATAACATTATACAATTATAGCTATATTTTAAGGTAAATGCAATGATTCTGATTCTAAAGAAGTAAAAGATTTATCAAGCCTTAAGTGTTAGGTAAACATTGTTTTTTGATGGTGGAAATCATCGAACTGACAGAAAAATCAGCAGTATTATATATTATTATATCCTCCGCTTGAAAAGCGGGAGGGTATATAGTGATCGAGATGTCCGTCCGTCCGTCTGTTACGCTTTGAGGTATCCATCTCTTATCCGCAAATCCTCATATATAAAAAGATGTGTTTGTGAAACAGCTTTGCCCCTGTATGGCAACAAAGCGAAGATTAAACTTTTCTTAAATGCAATTTAAATATATTGTTACCCAAAGTAGGGTCTTCTCACAAGAAATACAACTGCAAAATAGAAAAGCCCTAGCACCACTTGTTCAAAAGTAATGGTTAAGGATAAGTTTTTGAAAGGTAGGTCAAACTCAAAGGCCAAAGTTGATGATTTCTTAAGAAAATGTTTTATGTAACAAGGATTACATATGTTAAGTATGAATACCCTAGCCCTTACCGTTCAAAAGTTATGGCCAAGGAAAAAAGAAAAATCATAAGTACGGAAAACTCCAAGGTCAAGGTCAAAAGGTCAAGGTTTTTAGTATCCAATGAAAGGTAATGCCAAAAAACTACATATTTGAAGTATGAGAGTACTAGTATCTACCGTTTAAAAGTTATGGCCAAAGTAAAAATTTGGCATTTTTGTGTAAAATGGAACAAACTCCAAGGTAAATGTCAAAAGGTCAAATTTGGTGGTACCCAAAGTAAGGTCTTGTCACAAGGAATATACATATTAAATATGAAAGTCATAGCTCCAATAAATGAAAAGTTATGGTAAAGGTTAAGGTTTTTGCGGACAAACAAACCGCCAGATAGACAGACGGACATACAGACGAACACGATAAAACTATATACCCCCCGAATCTTCGATTACGGGGACATAAAAAGAAATGGTCTTCAATTAACTTGTCATATTAATATACATTATAAAGAAGACGTTACAACAATGAAAATGTTTGTTCTGATTTTTATATTAAATTCTCTGAAAAATATACTCAGAACTGAGTAAAAGGTTGGAGTAAAACAAGAATTAACTTAAGGTAGAACCTATGTCGGAAAAGTCTTTGTCACAAGATTTTCAAACTTTTCAAAATGATTAATTAGTACTTGCTTATCAATCAGTTAAGATATCATGATATGTTTTTTAATCTAGAACAGGCTGTGAAACTTGGTATGGTATTTACATACTGCGACTTCACATTTTCAAATATTTTTAGGGGTACTTGTCTGTTGTCATAAAGGGAATATGAAAAATCACAAAAATACTTCTTCAAACATCGTCGTTTATAAACTTTTTAAACTGAATAATATTAAACAATATTTTATCAAGAATAATTTTTTTTATTCAATTAACATAAAAGATAAGTCCACCATTAAAAAAAATAGTCAAATGAACTCTATTATTTTTAGTCAATTATTCACCCTATATTTGTAAATATTTTTTAGAAGTCTTTGTCACAATGTTTTCAATCTTCAATATGATGAAGAACATAGCCAAATGATTACAAAACATGATTAAAATATATACCTTTAACCTCTAACTAATGAAAGATAGGCTATATACCGATACTCATATTCTTGACCTTTTTGCACTTACACGGGATTAAATAATTAAATGACTGTTTGGGGTTACTTTCAGATTAAATATTTATCAGAAATTGTACTTTTACTTTAAAAAGATCATATTTAATAGAAAAATTGTAATAAAACACCAAGAATATGAATAGGTAACAAATAATTGTTAAAAGGAATGCACATCATTTCATTATAGATATCACAAAAATGTACACACGATCAAACGATCTACAACACGTACATCTTTGACTTAGACACATTTCATCAAGATATTACACTATATAGCTGGCAACTAAAGATTTCTTTTGATTTATGCATTCCTTCAAAATGGTTACATACCATTCAAATTATTACGAAAGTTGTATGTACATTGTAATTTCATTACACTAAATAGTCTTGGGTTTGTCAACTTCAGGTCTAGATCTAGTAAATAAAAGGTGCCTACATATTTTCTTTTATTCCAGAAATATATTGCCATTAAGCATTATAAACCAAAAAATATATGAATTGAATTAACATTATGTTGGCATGATTGAATTCTGTGAATTTCAAAATGCAGTATTTTCTACCATTTTTATTGAAGCTGTCAAGTACGGGAAAAAGTGGCATTGAATTAATGGGTTAGCACAGGTTAAACACATTTACCAGTTACGAAGTAGGTTCTTCGTTAAAAGAAATGTAATGAATACTGTGTGCTAAATCAAAAGTTTATGTCTACATGTATAGTTTTTGCATTAGAATGACTGTGTATTTTACACTAGCCCATAGCTTTACAGAGCATATTTCTAGGTCTTATACTTACCCCACCCCCTTTCTTATCTAGTAGGAAGTCGATATTGAACAAAGGGAAAAAAAAACACCCTACCTTAATTTTTCTATAAGAAGAAATTAAAAATAAGCTAAAAATAATCTACTATTCTACTGATTTTTAACTGTTACTTTGCCACAATACTTTCAAGTATACCTCATTTAAAGTATGCTTTAATCATGGCGAAGTAAATTATGATATGATAGTACTTGTGTGAAGGCTTAACTTCATTTCAATGTTTTATCTAGAGCCTCTTTCAGAATTATTGAAAGGTATAGAGTTTTATTCATATTTTTGCTTTTCATTTATTTTCTTTTGTTTTGTTTTGATTTAACGTAATGTCCTCTTTCGGGGGGGGGGGGGGGGGGGATAAAAATTTCCTCCTCTTTCATTGTCAAATTGGATTTGTCAAACCTAAACAAACTCAAAGTTGAAATGACCCGTCGGACAATTTAATTTTTCCTATTAAAGAGTATTTAAACCTGATTTTTGCATGGTTTGATTTCTAAAAACAAGTGGAATATCATTCTTTAAGCAAACATTATAAGGAGGAATACTAAAAAGAAATTTTATTTACTTGACAATTAAAGAATCTCTTTTCAAACACAATTTTAGCATTGAAAGACTACGTGAATCTATTAATTATTTCATACGACTTTTTGTATTTTTCTGGTTACAGAAAATGTAAAAATTAGTTTCGCTGTAAAAAAGATAGCAAAGAGTGTATATTTTGTATCACTTTAAAGGGGGTCATTTTTCAATGAGGGTCATT